GTGCTGTGGGACCCCAGGGAAGCGAGGAAGGGAGGGAGAGAGAGCAGTAGGGAGAGAAAGGAAGGAGGAGGGCTATTTTTTGACAGAAATTGGGGGCATGGAGGGGGATTTGCAATCAGTCTTAAGGGGCAGAGAGGAGAAAGACAGGACATTCCAGCTGGGTGCAGTGGCTGTCGCCTGTAATCCCAGCACTTTGGGAGGCTGAGGCGGGCAGATCACCTGAGGTCAGGAGTTCAAGACCAGCCTAACCAACGTGGAGAAACTCTGTCTCTACTAAAAATACAAAATTAGCCAGGCACGGTGGCACGTGCCTGTAATCCCAGCTACTCAGGAGGCTGAGGCACGAGAATCACTTGAACCCAGGAGGCAGAGGTTGTGGTGAGCTGAGACCGTGCCATTGCACTCCAGCCTGGGCAACAAGTGCAGAAAAAAAAAAAAAAAAAAAAAAGATGGGACTTTGAAGCAAAAGGAATGGCAGGAGCAAAGGCCCAGAGCTGTGAAGGGTGAGGTTATCCTGGGGATGTGGAGGAGCTCAGGGTGGCTGGCGTGGATGAGCATGGAGGGGAAGGGGCAGAAGAGCTGGGGATGGATTTCCCTGCAGTGGGTATCTTCCTACCAGGGCAGGGTGACAGGGGGCTCTCACCATATCCCATCATAGGAGGCAGGCAGCTGGGGCTGGGGAGGTTTATTTGTCTGCTCTGACCACCCCTCCTTTGCTATTCCTGGACACTACCAAGACCTCTCCTTTCACTTGCTCCTGGGGCACAGCATGGGTTCCCATCTCCAGGACTGGCCTCCATCCACCAACGCTGGGCATCATGGGAGGATGGGAATCACCATCAGACACTCCCTCTGAACCTCAGTCCACAACCAGTCCATTGATGACACCTTCTAGGTGTCTCTGGAATCCCTCCCCTGGCCTATCCCTGTGTATGCCTCCCTGCTCCCCACACAGACACCTGAGCCTCACTGGCCCTCCCACCTCCACCTGAGGGCACTCAGAGCATCCTCCACAACTGGGCCGCAGCATTCCTCACACAGCCCCAGCCTGACTCAGGCCCCACTGCCCAGGATGAAGCCCAGGCTCCTCAGCTCAGCTCAGGCCCATGCAGCAGCACCCTTCCCCCTCCCCGCACCTGAGCCAGTGGACTGAGTTTCTTTCAGTTCCTGAACACAAGATACTCTCTTGTGCGCACAGTTCCCCCTGCCCCAAACACTTCCCTGCTCTGGGAGACGGGGCTAACCCTCCCAGAGGCCAGCTCAGGCAAGCATACCCCGCAACCACGGTTTCCCCAGGCCTCCAAAATAATCACCCTGGGTGGTCTGGGTGTGTCTGTTCTTGTCTGTTCCCCCCTACAAGCCTGGGGGCCCTTCAAGGGAGGAGAGAACCAGGTCTGATATACTTATGACCCCAGAGCAGGTAGCAGGGCAGCTTTGTTGACTGAATAAGTAATCAGGACACTCCAGACAAGACTGTTTGGTGTGAAATAGATGAGAGGGCACAGGCTTGGGGGTGTGAGTGGGGCAGTGGCGACTGTGTCTTCAGCCCCTTGGCCTGAATAACTCCCCTACTCTTCCTGAAGGAATCAGTTAAAATTAAAGCAGCCTTCAAAAGGTAACTGTACTACAGAAGTGCAAGAGTCGGCTATCATAGTCTGTCTCCTTCGGAGACTCTGGCTGGGAAGTTCCTCCAGGCATCTGACCTATATCCCTCTCTACATAGAAGCTGGTTTTGACACTGCCTTTTGCAGACACAGTCTTCAGGGGACCCTGTGGGGAAGGCCAGAGAACAGTCTTCTGTCCTACCAAGTCCTTAATTGGCAGTATTAGAGTAATGAGTCACAGACAACAACCAATTAATTATCCCCAGTTATAAAAAGCTCTGCTTTCCCTTCCTGGCTGTGGAGTGAGCCTGGCCTCCTGCTGCCAGGCTCCTCCACTCCTCGGAACTGGGGGCAAGGGAAGAGGCCATTTCACCCCTCTGGTCCTGGTTTCCTGGTTATTTATTTGTTAAGTGTGTGTCCTGGGGGGCTGGGGGGACAAAGGAAGAGATGGGAATGTGTCAGGCTGGGCAGGGAGGAAGGAGGGAGACCAGTGTGGATGGAGAGGAAGCGGACCTTCCCAGGCTCCCTCCACCCACCCTCTCCACTCCTCAGGATCTACCTCAGAGCCCAGGGCTGCACCATAACGAGGGAAACACTGAGGGTTCCAAGCCTGGCATTCAAGGCCACTCCCCATCTTGTCTCAAATGCTCCTGGTCCAGTGCTCTTTCTTCTTCATCAGGCAACTTCCCAAGTTCCCCTGCCTTTCTTCTTCCAGCAAACTCTCATTTAAATCCACATCCTCAACACATTGCCCTCCCTAGTCTCCAGCAGCTTAGGCTGCAAATCTGTCATCAGCCTGTGTGACTGATTTCTCCATCTGTAAAATGGGCACACAATTAAACATGCCCCATGGAGATGTTACAATAATGACTAGGGCAATGCATGTAAACCATTTGCTCCCTGCATACAGTAGGTACTCAATAAATGTTAACAGATACTATTACTTTCACACATCATTTTCCAGCCTGAGAATGAGAATAAAATGCCTCGTGACTCTCCCACCTGTCAACCATTTCACAGGTGAGACCCAGAGAGATAGGGTTTCACAGGAGTTGAACCAGGCTTCTCTGAGTTGGGAGATACAGAGAGGATTCCTCCCCTGGGGCAGGAGTGGTGAGAATAAGGAGAGGCACCAGGCTCACTGGCAGAGGCCTGTCTACCACCCCTCAGCCCAGGCAGCTCTCCTCTCCCTACCAGCACCCCCAGAGCTCAGGCAAGGCCTCTATTTGTTCAGAGAAATTTCTGGAGCCCCTACCCTGCACCAGCCCTGTCTTTGAGACACCAGATCACTATTCCTTTGTTGTGACAGGCTGGTGAGTCCAGCCCCACCGCTGCCCTCACACAGCTGCCTCAGGGAAAAATGGGGAGAGAAAAGAGAAATAGAGAGAGAAAGAAAGGATGAGGGGCAGAGGCTGGGAACCAGGAAGTGGCAGGAGACGGGGGCGGGGGGGGGTGCGGAGCAAAGTGAGCGATTGCAGGGAGAAAGGGGCGGGGGAGGAGAGGATGCTCATTTTCAGCTGTGAGTTTGGGGTCACCTGAGGTGAGCTCAGCCCTTCCTGCAGAGACACTGCCACCCAAAGCTGCTACAAAGCCCTATACCAACCATTTCTAAGCTTGGCTCATGGCCTCCTGCTGACCCTCCAGCAGGACAGTCCAGACCCTAGCCTTGCAGGGCACATTTTGTTCTGGTTCTTAGTCAGCTCAAAACCAGCCTCGGCCCACTTCCTCCACTCTGGACCCTGTGCTGGCCACAGCCGAGACCCATCAGTTCCTGACTCCACCGCCTATGACTGGCCAGCCCTGGGCCCACCAAAGACATGAGGCTCCTGGAAGATGTGCCTTCCCCAGCGTCTGCCCTGATGGCCACGGGCTTCCTGCTTGGGAGCTTGGCCATCCTTCTTCTCACTTTAGCCTCAGCTGTCTCACCACCCATTCCCACCAGGGGCTGCTGGGCCTCTACTGCCCAGGTCCAGATCCAGAACAGAGGGTGGAGGAAGGCAAAGTGGCCATGGAATTCTGAAGCCAAGATCAGAACCTAGCTCCCATTTCAGAGATGGAGAAGCTGCGGCTTGGGCATCTGGAATGGCATGTCTCAATGGCTAGTGACAGCTGGCACCGCGCTGCTCACATCACAGCCCTCATTGCATGTCGTGGCCCAGCGGCTCCTTGAGAGGGGTGTCTTTCCCCTCCAGTTCACAGGTGAGGGAGCTCACAGGCAATTAGATTCAAGTAGAGGATACACCCCCAAAACCTGAATCCATCTGACTCCAGAGCCCACGGCCTGTGCCCCTCCACATAAGAGGGAAAGCTGTGACAGGGTATGTCACAAGGCTTCCCTGCAGGGGCCTGGAGTAGAGAGACCAGGGCTTTAGTCTTCGCATTGCCAAGGCCCTGCTCTATGGACTTGGGCAGGCCTTTCCCTCTCCTTTGCCTCAGTTTGGTCACTTGACTCCTCTGTGGCTGGGAATGGGGACAAGACAATGAATCAGGCCTGGTGCCCACCCTGGCAGTTCCTGCTTTTCACTGTTTGGGGGTCATGAACTCAGGCTCCCCAGTCTAGCACTTATCCCTCACCAGCACAGGCAGAGGAGGGCAGACAGGTGGATAAGCTTCCCTGACCTCCCCCAACAGATAACCAGGCCTACTGGGCCTCTGACATCAGTTGCAACCACAACCCCCAAACCCTGCCACCCCTGGTCACTCCAGCCTCTTCTGGGGCTGGCGGAATTTAGAGGCTAGCTTCTTTGTTCAGACAAGCAAGAAGGAGGAGGAAAGTTGTTCTCCAGACAGTAAAGCTTTTAGATAAACACCACACAGGAATTGGTTCCTTCAGAGAAGAAACTAGATCCACTGGCTGACAGCGCCCCAGGGACAGGAGTGCAGCTTAGGTCTGGCCCGGGGAGCCCGGCACTGAAGGATGCTTTCTTCATCTGGCTGTGCACCTGCTGCCAGCTCTGACAGGCCTATGGCTCAGGTGACTGAGTCCCAGTGCCAGGCTGTAACCCTGCCAGCTCCCAGGCTCCAGGATGGCCGGGCCCACCTCCTAACCCTGTCTCTACCACCCGCCTGTTTGCCTGCCTGCCTTTTGGGATCTGCCAGGAAGCTGAGGACTTCTGCTCACCTCAGGGTGACCCTTTCCTTCTGGAGCAGCCTAACCTCAACAATGTCAGAGGAGTGTTAACAACTCGTCAACAGGATGAACTCCTTCCCTGCCCTCCTGGTCGTCAGTTTCAGGAATTACCATGAGGCCATTTGACAGAGGAATAAACTGAAACCCAGAAAGGCCATTGGCCTGTCCAGAGCAACTCAGCAGAGACAGAGCTACACCTCTCCCCCAGCCCCTCAGCCTTGCTGGGGCTCACTGGGTCCCTCCAACCCTCTTCCAGTGTGGCTCACCGGCGTGGTGTCATCATGCGAACGTTGGTAGCGCTTCCAACGGCAGCCATAGATGCCCGTGAGGCAGGAGAGGCACAGCTGTGGCTCATAGTACTGCAGGGGCTGGTGTCTCACCATACTCGTGCCCACGGCCCTGGCGCCTGGCCCTCAGGCGCCCATGGAGGCCCCCAGCTGGTCCTGCAGGAGGAAGCACAGGGCAGTGAGATCGGGGAAGGGTGAGGAGTCAGGCACTACACAGCAAGTCATTATAGCCTAGGTCAGGGAGGGTCTCCCCTGCTCAAAGCACTGCAGTGGGGCTCCATCTCACTTGGAGTCACAGGCCCACCCTTGCAGGTCTCCAAGGATCTGTCTCCTGCCTCCCACTCAAGACCTCATCCTCCCTACTCCTTCTCCTCTGGCCACACTGATTTCTTCCATGTTCTTCGCTGGCCTGGCATGCTGCTGTTCCCACCTGGAATGCTCTTCCCTTAGAAACCTGTATGACTCCCTCCTCTTTCCCCTCCTCTCTTCAGGTCTCAGCTCAAATATCCTTTTCTTTTCTTTCTTTTTTTTTTTTTTTTTTTTTTTTTTTGAGATAGTCTTGCTCTGTCACCCAGGCTGGAGTACAGTGGCTGGAGTGCAGTGGCACCATCTCAGCTTACCACAACCTCTGCCTCCCGGGTTCAAGCAATGCTCCTGCCTCAGCCTCCCACGTAGCTAAGATTACAGGGGCCCACCACCACGTCTGGCTAATTTTTGCATTTTTGTAGAGACAGGGTTTTGCCATGTAGGCCAGGCTGGTCTCGAACTCCTGACCTCAGGTGATCCACCCGCCTCAGCCTCCCAAAGTGCTGGGATGACAGGCATGAGCCACGGCGCCCGGCCACATGTCCTTTTCTCAATGAGACTGTCCCAGGTCACCTTCTATAAAACCGTACCCCCTTCCCACATTCCCTAATCTCCTTCCCACGTTCTCTGCCTTGTTTTCTCAATCATGTCCTCAAATATAACTTACTTATTTTTCCTGTCTGTCTGCCCTACTATAATGCAGTTTCCATGAAGGCAAGGATTTTTGTCTGTTGTATTTTCTGCTGTATTCCCAGTAACTGGAACAGTGTCTAGCACGCAGCAGACTTTCAAAATAAACGTTTTAGAAGAAATTATCATACAAGCTGAGATGTGTTGGGCACTTAAAATACATCAGGCACCATGTAAATACTTTACATTCATTGTCCCATCTCATCAGCACAGTCATCGGAAGTGGCAGGTTCTGTGTCCTAAGCCCATCTGACAGTTCAATAAACCAAGGCTCAAAGAACAAGGGGCACTGCCTGGCTGCTGTCCCATAACTGCACTGTGCTCGATCTAGGAACTGCTCTAGTGCCCCAAAGTATTCATTCTCCAGACGCAGGGAGCGCCCCCCAGCCTGGTGAGGCCTGTGGGGGGATGGGGCAGCAGCCAGGAGCTACTGCCCCAGCCCTGCTTGGCACCCTGGAGATATCTGTGGGAGCCTCGGCCTCCGGGGGCCAATGTTGGTTGAGTGTGACAGGTGGCAATGGGCTTGGGGCACCTCACACACCCTGAGTATTGGGTGTCATCCAGTCCCCCACACCACTGTGAAGTAGTTATTTTTGTTCTATTTTGCTGATGAAGAACCTGGGACTCAGAGCAGAAAAACAATTTGCCCAGAGGTACATAGCTGTACTGAGGTGTCAGGACCCCAGCCCTGGCCTGCGGGACTCCAGAAACTCAATCGTATGTTCTGTACCAGGCCCTGTCTGAGGCCCAGGAAGACAATGTGAGCAGGACACACAAAGGCCCCCAGGGCCCTAAGAGGACCAGAGAGGGGAACAACCAGGCATTGTTCCTGGTACTCTCCATGCATAAACTAGAACAGCAGCCCTAGGAAGGAAGTATTAGCATTTTAGAAACAGAGATATAATTCACATGCCATACAATTTACCCTTTCAAAGTATACAATTCAGTATTTAATATACAGTCTTCAATTTCTGGTATATTCACAGGTTGTACAATCATCACCACTATCTAATCCCAAAAGAGTCTCATCATCCTAACAACACCCCCGCCCTCATTCTCATGCACTGTCACTCCCCATTTACCCTGGTCTCACCCCTCTGGCCCTGGCAACCACTCATCTACTTTCTGTCTCTATGGACTTGCCTATTCTAGAGACTTCGTATCAATGGAATCATACAATATGTGGCCAGTTGTGTCTTGTTTCTTTTATGCATCGTTTTCAAGGCTCATCCACGTTGTAGCTGGAATCAGCATTTCATTCCTTTTTATGTCTAACATTCGGTTGTACGGATCTAACACATTTTGTTTATCTACTGATCAGCTGATGGACATATGGGTTGTTATCGCTTTTGGGTTGTTATACATCATGCTTCTGTGAATGAGTTTTTTTGTGTGAACGTATGTTTTCATTTCTTTTGGGTACACACTTTGGGATCAAATTGCTGGGTCACAGCACTTTGGGAGGCCAAGGCGGGTGGATCACTTGAGGTCAGGAGTTCGAGACCAGCCTGGCCAACATGGTGAAACCCCATCTCTACTAAAAATACAAAAAATAGCTGGGCTTGGTAGTGTGCACCTGTAATCCCAGCTACTTGGAGGGCTGAGTCAGGAAAATCGCTTGAACCTGGGAGGCAGAGGTTGTCAAGATCGCACCACTGTGCTCCAGCCAAGGCGACAGAGTAAGACTGCATCTCAAAAAAAAAAAAAAAAAGAATTGCTGTGTCATACGGTAACTTTTTTTTTTTTTGAGATAAGATCTTGCTCTGTTGTCCAAGTTCGTGTGCAGTAGTGCAATCGTAGCTCACCGTAACCTCAGACTCCCAGGCTCAAGCGATCCTCCTGAGTTGCTGGGACTACAGCTGTGTGCCACCACACCTAGATCATATGGTAATTTTTATGTTTAACCTTTTGAGGAACTGCCAAACTGTTTTCCAACGTGACTGCACTATGTTATATCCCCAGAGTATCATCATCATCATTCCCATTTTACAAATGAGAACCCTGAAGCATAGAAAGGTTGAGCCACTTACCAAAGGTCACCCAGAAGAGCCAGGATTCACACCCAGGCAGGCTGGCTCCAGGGGCCCTGCTCTAACCCACGGGCCTGCCAAATCCGATCTGCTGCCTATTTTTGCACAGCCTGAAAGCTAAGAATAGCCTTTATGTTTTTAAATGGTGGTGAAAAGAGTCAAAACAAAAATATCTTGTGACACATGAAAATTATTTGAAAGTCAAATTTCAGTGTCCATAAATAAAGTTTCATTGGACACAGCCAGGCTCATTCATTTATGTATTGTCTACGGCTGTTTTAACTGTTGTAACTGCAGTCTTGAGTAGTTGCCACGGAGACCATATGGCTTGCAAAGCCTAAAATACTGACTGTCTGGCCCTTTAGAGGGAAAGTTTGCGGACTCCTGCAGTCACCATGCTCTAATGGCTCACGAGCCTTATGGTAAGTGCAGTGTATGATGGAGGGAGGAAAGGGAGCCTGTGGGCACTGACCACGGTGCAGGTGCCAAGTATGCTTCCCGGAGTCAGCACTGAGCCGAGGCCTGTAAGATGAACTCCTAAGATGCTGCCACTCCCCAAAGGCCCAGCGGCTGAACTGCACCATAGGAGCTTGCTGAGCTTCAGGCTCACTCACTACTTCCACCACTAGGCCTCACTCAGGGCCTCTGCCTTTCCCTCCAATGCCACTACCCAATGCTGACCTCACCTCAGTGCAGAGATTACAGCCTCCAGTCTGAGGGGAAGATGCATTAGGGGCTTGCTCGGAATACTGAATGACCCGAAGTCTCTTGAGTGCTGGGAACTGTCTGGTGCAGCCTCCGTCCGGGGGAGCCCTGGGGAGGCATGTGGACCAAGGTATAGCTGCTGGGGCTTCCCTGAGCCAGGGCCTGGGGGAGAGGCTGGGGTGTGGACACAGCTTGGCTCCCATGGGGCTGGGGAGGCCATGGGTGGGGGCTGGTGTGGGGTGCTCTCAGCTTTACTATACTCCAGAAGATGTGGGGAGCATTGTGTGCCCACATAGGCACTCCCACATTCACAGCCTTCCCGCAGGGGTGGGAGGCCAGGGTCCATAGCCAGGGGAGCCAGATCTCACCCTGTGCACTCCCCAGACTGGAGTCTCTACTGTCATGTCAGCCCCCACATCTGCCCTTGCCTCCCCAGGAACGGAGGAGCTAGGTGCAATGTGGAAAGAAGCCCAGGTTTGTGCTGCCTCGCCTGGCACTGATGTGCTCTGTGGCTGGGGCCCCTCAGGCTCTTCCCTGAGCCTTGGTTTCTGAATCTGTAAAATCGGGTAACAGCTTCTGCCTTGACTTCTCTATAGGATGCACAATTGGGGGCAGGGAAGGGGAAAGGTGCCAGGAGGTACTGCAATGCTGAGGTATAGCAGGTGGACATCCTGCACGTGGGAGCCTGCCCCAGGTTGCCCTTCCTTCGCACTCCTTTCCTGAGACTCCCCTGCCACTGGGATTCATTCCCGCATGTCCTCTGTCTGCTCCTCCCCTGTCCCCACGACTGTGTATTAACCCACCCAGGAATGGAAATTCCACCTCAAACCTGGGAAAGAGGGAACTAGAAGTTCGTGCATCATGCCTCCGCCCAGGACTTCGCTGATTCTGGCTCTCAGAGTCTCCTCTTCCCCCAGGTGCATTTCCTCCTGTTTATAACTGTAGGGGATTCTCTGGGAGGCAAACCTCTTCTCTTTCTTCTGTGTGCTCTCCTGGCCAGGGCCATCTTGTCCACTCCCATAGCTTCAGTTACCAGATGCTGCCAAGGCCAGGCTCTGCCTCTGATTGAGGTAGCCTGCAGCTCCTGGACGTCTCCAGGGGAGTCACCCAGGCCCTGCAGACCCAGTTCAGCCACACTGCCCTATCACCCCCAACCTGCTTCTAATACCCCTCAAGTCCCCTTTCTCACCATCCCCTCAGCCACTTCCCATTCCAGGCCTCATCTCTTCTGGCTGGGGACTCCTCCAGACTCATTGCTGTCAGCCCTATCCCTCCAATCCAAGCTCTTACCTGCAGCTGGACTGAAATTCTTAACAGGCAATGGCCAGGATCTGACCCTACTGCTCTTCCAGCCTGGCCTCCCTTCGCCTGGAGAACACCTCCTGATCCTTCAAGTCTCAGAGGTTCCCTCCTCCAGAGCCCCAG